TGAAACTAACTATAATATTATAAACATATTTTTGAGAGTCGGCAGAAGTATATGGATCAAGCTCCGGATTGCAGATCGGATATCTTGCTGAAAAACTTTGCGGCAGCCGATATGCCAGGAACTGCAGCGTAGTCCACGCCTTTCCCGTGCACAAGACAGGGTTCTCGCCGCACACTATACGGATTGAGCTGCGAGAAGAGTTTGTTAACCACCGCGCGCGGCTTCATGTCGCGGGAGAAGTCGCGGACGCCGGCGTCGGCCAGCCGGTTGCCGGCGGTTACCCGCGCGTCGTCAAGGGGATCCCCGCCGTCGCGGTTTGCGCGTCGTTCCGGGTAGTCGGCGTGCTGCTGTGCTCGCTCGTCCACGGCCAGCTCGCGGTAGAAGCTGCAGTGCCTGGGGAGCAGCGCCGACGCGTACATGTTCCACATGTAGGCGCTTGCCCACCAGGTCGTCGCGTCCAGGCTGGCGTCGTACGCCGGCAGGAAATCCAGGGCGGTGCGGTGCAGCGCCACCAGCGCCACCAGCATGTGGTCCATCGTGCAGCGGCGGATGCATGAGGCGCTGCTGTACGGGCGCGCCGCGGCCTCCTTGAACGAAACGCCGGCGAGCAGAGGACGCTCGCACCAGCAGCGCGTGAAGGCGCTCGTACGCAAAGTCGTCGTTCGTCGTATTCCACGTCACGTGACTGTAGTTGCTAAGCTTCCGAACTCCCAACGTGACGTCGTCATCGGCGAAGACTATAAATTCAAATGTCCAGCCCTGCTGAGCTTCCAAGTCTTTCGCTAGCTGCAGGTGACGATTTCGGGCAGTTGATGTTTTTCGTCAGCTGCGTCACGTCCCTCTTCCAGGATAAATACAGCACGGAGGTGTCGGGCCAATTAGAGCGCCGTATCCATCGCTGCGCTGGGTACGCTGCGCCCATAACTAGGTAGGCCAAGCGCCCATGTCGCATTGGCGGCGCACTGCTCAGTTGGCCTGCAGCCGAGGGATTTCCAGGCACCAGGGCCTTGCGCTGAGGGTCCGAGGATCCATTGACAACCGTCTTGTATTGACGAGGCTGTGTGATGCCGAACCAAGCAAGTACTCGTATTACAAGTACAAGTACTACAAGGACAAGTACCAGCTGAAGTTTGACTTTGAAAGAGAACTTCCAGCTGCCCATCTGAACTACTTTATTATTATTATTCCAGGATTTCCCAAAGACGTATAGAATCTATTCATTGCATTCCCAACTCCTCACAACCACGCGCTCTTCAGCCGAACCATACAGACACCAGCAAGGACACTTCCGTTGAGAGATAATATTCCTCCACGCCTCTAGACAGCTGTTTCGCTCCCTGTCGGAGCTCATCAGTAGAGGATGATAATGATAATGGAGAAATGATCATTCTTATACACCAGAAATGGCGCAAGTGCGCGCTTTCCACATAATATCAATGGCATATGCAAGCTGCTAAAATGGTAAAGTGTGAGAACAGCGCTAGCGATAAATAATCATAGTACGCGCTCATTGGTGGAGAAACACACCACACAAGCGACGAAAATCTTACTCGGAATACTGATGCCAATGGAAAGTACATGTATGTTGTTTATTATTATGATGTTGCAATGTCCATGTATGCAGGCGAGGCGAGACTCACCGTCGAGATCCCCCAACGCGACAGGCTCGGTTGCCGTTCAGGATTCACACCGACCTGTCCGCCCGTCAACAGGATCGACAGCGGGAGGCCCCACTGATGCCAATGTCGATGCACACCAGGAAACTTGTAGTCGTGCGTGTGATACTAACAGGTCTAGTAGCAACCACTGACAAACGAGAGGCCAGCTGGGGCATTCACTCCAGTCAGGGATGCTTGGTCGACGCTTCGTATCAGCAGCTCAGCTCAGTTAGATCACCAGAAAAACAACCGGACAAGACACCTACTGGCGTGGCAGTGACAGGAACCGCATATACCAGAAGAATGACAAGATCGGCAACGGCGGCGATGGCAGCGACTAAAGTACAGACAGAGGCAACGGCTAGGGTCCACTCGACTAGCCATGTGAAATCGGATGTGTCCACCGCACATGCTGATTGTTCTGATGTAAGTTCTGATAAGTATGAGTCGTCCATTGCTAGTCATTTGTTTGAGCATCCTGATTGTCGTGCTGTGTATTCAGATGATTGTTTTTCGATTGTGTCACGTGTACGCAGTGCTAGATTGTTGAATGTTTTGGAAGCTGTATACATCCACACAAGGAAACCCAACCTTTGCAAGCAGAAGCAAATCAAATTCACACTTAGGCTGTTAGGTAGGTCATCAAAACCTCGTTAGTTACATGTATGTCCAGTGGTTGTCTCTTGTTGTCGCACTACATGTCGCGCTTATTGAGTTTTCTCGCATTTGCACCTTTGTGTCATTATTGCAATTTTCGCTGTTTACTTTAGCTATCTTCTTTCTTTCTTTCTTTTTTGCGCTGTTTTACTACCTTCTTACTGTATTTAATCCACTGTTCCTGCTCCTTTTCCCTTGCCTGTATTTCACCTGATGAGAAGGCTTGAAAGTATACTTGTGAAGACAAAAACTTTCAAGATGTTTGTAATGAGCCTGAAGTGTGTCCTTTTTATGAGTATTATCGCATTTTTGTCTCAGAGGAAACTGTTCTCCTTTATTCTTTTTCTTTCCTTCTTTTCTCTTCTTCCTTTGCTGAGAGCCTTCTGTTCCCATATTTTCTTTTCATCTGTGTCCCCATTCCTGGGTTACTTGGACTTCATTCGCTCCCTTGTCATTGGACATGTTCAGTCCGTTCGGTTTGCGAATTCAAATAAACACAACCAACATACCGAACATTCGAATATTCGTTCGTCAGGCCACAGCGATCTAGCGAACGAACGTTCGTAGTTTTCACGGACATTCGAACTTTGAGAGTGTGCGTACGGTACGATAAACTTGTAAAAACATCGGGCAGAATCGACGGACGAGCCGGAACAGATCTACACGACCACACTCCATCATTCACCCCAGTGTCTGGAGATATGTGGATTTTGTAGAAAAAAACAAAAAACAAAAAAAACACGACCCGCGCGATCGCGGTTCACGATCTGAACCGGCACTTGACAGAAGTAGAGGCGAAGAACAATTATCGTAGACGAACATTGGAGCAAAGACTACTGTACATGTTCAGGGACTTTGCTGGCTTTTCTGTTGACCACTTCGTACTTTTCTTTAGAGAGGTTGCGCACAACGAAAATCCGTAGCGCCGTGACGAATATTTTAACGAAAAAAGCTAACGAATATTCGTAAACCGGGAGGGTGCGCACAAGGTGTGAACTTTTTCTTAGTGGGTCGACGCAGGGGCCGCGCGCGTGCGAAGAGTCAGGACAGGGAGTGGTAAAATATCAGTATTTTAGTACTCAAGGTAGCGGAAAAATATTTTCGTAGATCTGCTCTGTTTCGGTCGCGTTTGGACGGATCTTCGCAGCAACTTTCGTTACTCGAACCCGGACGGTCGAAATCTTACGAATTTTCGTTGTGCGCAACCTCTCTTTTGTTTCGAGTTCACACTGTGCTATGTCAGAAACTGTTTTCGGTCGTGCTCCGCGTTCTGTTTGGGATCATTTTACCAAATCCACCAATGAGGAGTCGGCTACCTGCAGGATTTCTCGCAGCTTATGTTTACCATACATGGCAAAACGGCAAGCAGCCTCTATGCGGACCTGAAAACACAACTTGAGTATTCCTCTGTCGTCTCTGGGAGTGCACTTAGTTCTATGACATCAACACTGGACAGGAACCAAGTAAGTATTAGTTGATGACAAACGTTGCTGTGAACGACTTTTGGACATCAGCTCTGACGGTCCTCTTGTCGAAGGAACGGGTCTTGTCAGCCTACGCAATCTCTAGCTTCTCGGCCAGACACAGACTAGTCGACTAGATGTTAGAGTATGGTGCAGCTCCACTAAGTTCGTCACGCAGGCGTACAATATGCATGATTTGAGGAGTTCTTGGTGGGTGCACTGCATGGATATATGCGACCGTTTACATGACAACATAAGCCCTGGCCTGGGAGGGGGGGGGGGGAGGGGGGATAAGCTCGGGGGTGAAGGGTAGGGCTAGTTCAGCTGGGGTGAGCTGAACGCCTGACTAGGTAAACGTGCGCTCTAAAATGACTGCGTGACAGATCAAGGCGGGCTTATCGTAAGCCTAGGGTTGAATAAGCCCGGGCTTATTTCTCTTATTTTTCTCACGTGAACGGCCGGCCCCTCAGTTCTGTATTTCTCCACTCATAAGCGGAAAACGAAAATTGAAATTTGTGATGGTAATTATTCTACGACAAAGTACACAGTGCATGCGGTGTTATTGTGCGTGGTGACGACTGCATCCTTTAACAGTGTCTACAATCATAGAGCTAGTACCTTGGTTGGTTCATTGGGGGGGGGGGGGGTTTATTTTAATTCGCACAATAAACGGGAAGTACGCCGAGTGATATAAAAAGGCGAATGGAAAAGCCGCATTTAGAAAATTATAGTAACGTACCGTAGAATCCCGCGGATAAGCCCACCCGCGTATAAGCCCACGCCCGCGCATAAGCCGAGGGTTTGTTCGAACATCACAACGCTTCATCGTACAAGCCCATGGGCCTAGGTCATACCGAGAGTCCATAAATTATGGACTCTTGGCCATACCATGTACGTAGTACATGCACATTATAGTTTTTTTCGTGCATTTCAACACAATCATCGGTTGTTTTTGTTTGCACAGTGGTTTTCAGCAATGTGCTTCTCACTTCCGTGATACTTTTCAATAGCACAACTTGGTGTCGGCGTATAAGCCCATGTCCGCGTATAAGCCCACCGAAATGTCCTTGTGAAACAGATAAGCCCATGGGCTTATCCGCGGGATTATACGGTAACTTGGTTAGAAGAAGGGCTGAGGCTTCCTGCAGCTTCATCTATGAAAAGAATTCGGGTGGACACACCCATTCCCATAGCGCTGCACATCACATCCGAACCAGTTCCGTTATTTTTACAACGTTTCGGCACTTGGCCATCGTCAGGTAATAACAATAAATTTAATACCGTGGAAGCCACACAAGAGCAGTACATACGTAGAGTGTAGCGCCAAAAAAGATGCGAATTATGTCACCTAGTATGCAGAGGGGGGGGGGGCGGGGACAGAGAGAGAAAAGGCGCAACTAGCACATCACGGAGGAGAAGCAGCAGAAGGTAGCGCGCATTGTGCTCTGTGAATGGCGTAACTTGGTGAGCTCTGCAGAATACCTTATACTTCCAGTATCTGCTATCAGTAATAAAAAATATTTCCAATACAGATGTTAGGAATGTCAGTAAAGGACAGGCGTGTAAGGGTATATCAAAAAAGAAGAAAAACCAATGGGAACGAGTATCCGAGTTAAATTCTGTAAGGTAGCTTCAGAGTTGATTGTTTTAAAAGGTGCGTGATTCGGGAAACTGAGAGAAATGCCGGGAAGTATCAGAAATCGACGTCAACGTCTTCCCACATAATGGTCAGCGGAGGGAAGTTGAACGCATCGGGATGACCATGAGGCTTCTCCACGTCGGTCTGGCTCCACTTGAAGACGGGCTGTTGCTCAGAAGTTGGACCGGACGCGATGTTGGCCTGCAGTTTCTTCATCATCTCGGCATTGGTGATCTTGCAGTCGGTGGCGCCGGCCAGTTTGAAGCCGTCCAGGGAGTATTCGTACTTCATGTCCTTTGGGTTTAGGTCTCGGCGAGCGGCGATGGCGTTGATGCCCGAATACGGTGGTGTGCAGTTGCAGCGTCCGTACTCGTCGTGCTTGAAGTCGTTCGAGCGCATCAGCTTGTAAAGTGTCGGGACACTAACGGCACTGGCATGGTCTCTCTTAAAGAGTTTGGCACGCGGAGCGTGGTCGTAGGTGATGAACTCCCCGTACAGTTTCTCGGCACCCTTGGTGTCACCAAGCTTCTGCACTTGCGGGAAGTATGCGGCGTTGTAGCTTGGCCAGTAACCTTGAGCGTGCAGCAGGCTGGTCAGGTCTTCCGTGTGCGTATACGTCGGCAGCTGCTCCATGACGGTCAGGGCGCCGGTCTTTGGCGCTGATCCCGGCGTGAACTTCTTGTAGTCGAAGATCGTCCACTGGTTGTTGTATGTTCCACTGTTGTACTTGGCGAAGATCTCCGTCCACTCTGCACCGGTGCTGGCCAGTCGGTTGGCAATCTGGACACGAAAGTAGTACAGCATGTTGCTGAACGTAATCTCCTCGAACAGCGTGGCGTTGAAGTTCATGATGGTCGTCTCCAGGACGGCGAGGCCGGAGCCGATCGTGTAGAAGTCATCGTTGCTCTGCGTGTTCATGGCGTAGGAAGAGAAGCCAATCTGAGCGCCTGGAATGACGGCGGTGGGATTCTCTGCGGCCCCGCCACCGTCCGTGCTGATCTGCAGGTCGTACAGCTTGTATATGCGGAGCATGCGGAAGTAGCTGTCCCACGAGATGTGTGAGAACAGGACGTCCTCGTTGTCGCCGACCATCTTGACGATGGCCGAACACGACGTGGACGCCATCTTGTGCTTGCGCAGGCTCTCCGGTCGATCGAACACCGTCTCAAGCGTGATCAGATCCCCGTTGAACGACATCATCAGGAAGTCGAGCAGATCGAGGGTCTCTCCGCCGACGTCCCCGGCAAGAATGTTGTACCCATTCACCATGGCTGTCAGCTGATCAATGATCAGTCCATACTGATGCCAGTAAGCGATTTCAGTTTCCGACTTGTCTCTGGCCAGCGCCCTCTGTGCGTTTGCCCACAGAAGATTGGATGAGACGAATGAAGTCAGTTTCTGGCAGTAGGTAACTGTGGCTGCATTGCCAGTGCAGTAATCCTTCACCACGTTCATGAATGTATCCGAAATCATCTGCGCTGTCAAGTATCCCTCTAGAAAACCAGCCGCCTGCACCTGCACCGTGTCAGAATAGGAGCCGTTTGTGTGCAGCTCAAGCTGTGCCCAGCCCGCGCTCAGAGCGGTGGGCTGGAACGTTGCCCACACAACTCGGTACGCGGTGGCCTTGCCCGCGACCACTGTCGGAATCCCATCCGGCTTGAGCACCACCGACGCTGTCACTGTTTGATCCAAGTTTAGCTTCTCCGGCACGGCGGCCACGAAATCGGACTTGAATTCACTCACGATGGATGCTCGATCAGCGCTCTCAAAACGTGCCCAGGCTCCAGACGCCAGTGCGCACACGAGCAACGGCACCAGGATTTTCATTAGCTGCAAGTTCATCCTCATCTCTCCCTTTCTGCCGGTCACTAATTTAATCTGGTCTACAAAATGGTTGCCGCACAGTGCTCACAACCGACCCAAGTCAATGCTTTTATACTGCCCTTGGCCTTGTCCATTCATTCCGATCGCTGGTAAAACATAATTATTTTCACGTGACCAGGTGACTGTCGTGATCGTGAGTCATACTCCACAAAACCCAGCCGACTTTGTAGCCGGCCAGGCGTGAACACTGTACCTTGATTACCAGTAGGACGTGCAATACATGGTGTAGTTTCAGGCGGACAAGCAAGCGATCGGTGCTGGACACGTCCGGGCGCTTGGCCGCTGGAACTCGACTTGAAAAGTTGAAGTAACAAAGTAAGTAATTAGTTAGTTCAATAACAAAAAGGTCGCCTTTCATCCGCGGAACCAATGGCCAGAGCGAGTGGAGTTCGTAGATCTACTGGTTTCGTTGCGCAGAGCGAAAGGGTTGTACTCTATCTAGATCTAAAGATTTTTACATGATCGACATAGTCATTGATCGTCTTCCACAGTAACTAACTCAGTAGGGCTGGCGCATGCACGTAGTACGGTACATGTACATGTAGAGGTCCACATGATTGTGTATGCCTTCTCGGACCCGTCGCTGACCAGGAGGAGCATACAGGTTGACAAAATGTTGATCACTTGTCGCAAACATTATGATTTCGTCAAATGTGGGATGAGTCCAAATACACGCACAGTACACGTACAGAACTTGCAGCACGAATGACTGAAATCCGGCTTGGACAGCACAGGCCGGCGGCCTGATTCTGAGTGCATTACAACTCACTGTCACGCATGTGACATGTGCCCTTGGTAGGCATTGGCGGACAATGCACAAACAGGTGGCAGATTCTGCTCGAAAAGCAGTGAAATTGGCAGAGCCATACAAACCTTATGGCGAGCAATTCCTCGAATTCTGCTCCATTTCTTTATCCACATACCAAACATGCATGAAACTCACCAGGAAAAGTACCGAATTCTGCCAATTTTTCTGCCGGCAGAATCCGCCCGTGCCTAGACTCACCACATACATGTAACTGTATGTCAAGCAGACTATACAGTTTGGTAGAACGTTCATTTCTTCTTTCGACCAGACGAGACCACACCACGCTTGCGAGCACCACCACGAACAGTTCACCAGCAACACTCCACAACAGCACAACGTCTTCTTGCTGTCGTGGAGTGCTGCTGGTGAACTGTTCGTGCTGGTGCTCGCAAGCGTCATGTGGTCTTGTGTGATTGAAAAAAAAAGAGAACCATCTTCTACTATGAATCGACTGACCAAATGAAGATGGCATCAACGAATTATTACTAAAATGTTGGTTGCCCCATTTTTATAATACACGGTACACTTGTGACGACATTGGCTACGTAACAAAGCACGCGTCTGCGACCGTTGAGCTGGAAGTCCGCTGTCTGCCAACTGACTTCCAATGGACACGGGCGAACCCTGGATACCACGGTATTATGGTTCTCCATCTTCTGCAACCGTACATGTACGTGATGTCCACATCCTTCAAGTCCATTCTTGGTTGGCCCGCTGCTGGGGACCTACTGGTACATCGTCGTATCGAACGCAGTGGGATACCCTAGGTACCTAATTAGGACATGGCAAATTCTTGCTCGTACTCTCTGATAAGACGTCTAGACCAGATTTCCAAGTTTTGTTTGGGCCGTGATGCCGAGACTCCAGGTCGGCAGAGCCATCAATGCCCCACCATCATTGCTGCGTCTTGGTGCAGCGCCTGCTCACTGACTATAGTTGTCACGTTTGTCCTAGTCTCCGTACCATGGTCTTTCATTATTCTTTCGAGCTGGGTACGTGAACATACAGTCATGTGCATGTACTAAAAATAGAAAGAAAAAAAGTGCCCAAGTGTTTTTCAGTGGGGATACAATCCTCTTCTACTGAAACAATAAGCACACTCAAGTAAAGTCGGCGGAATAGCGCGAGCTCCGGTGTGGGGAGCAAACCCTTTCTTACACTCTTTTCTTGTTTATTTTTTATTTTTTTATTTTTTTAGCTCTTTTCTTGTGGTGAAGGAACTACTCTGATAGGAGAGACTGTTGCTTAGTGCAGACACTTCCTGTAGTGTCATGTGACTAGATGCATGAAGCCCATGCATACATGCATTCCGATATCATTCCCATCTGTTCGCACGGTCAAAAGTCTGTTCCGTCAGGGCACTGATTGGCACCTCGCACTACTCGCGTACCGCAACACTCCCTTGGAGAATGGTAAGAGTCCAGCCCAGCTTCTGATGAACCGCCAGCTGCAGTCACTCTTACCTCTCTCTCCAACACAGCGACAGTCGCATCCAGTCGATCAGAGCGACCTGCGTGCCGCGGATCAGCGCTTAAAGGATCGCCAAAGCACCAACCATGCCAGTCGCCATGCAGCCCGGACACTTCCGTCTCTGTGTCCCCAACAGCCTGTGTATCTACCTGATCGTGAAGAGTCTGGCCACGTGATGAGCCAACCAGCCTTGCGCTCCTACATCGTAGCAACCCCATCGGGCCAGTTCAGACGCAACCGGTGGCACATTGTCCCAATGCCAACGCCGCAACAGTTGCCGCCTGCTGGTCACTCTGCCGCTACTACCGATCCTGATCCCCCAGCCAGTCAACCTTCTACTCCGCCGTGTCCTGCAGTTCCCAACTTGCCATCGACCCCTCCAGCTCAAGACCAGCCTGATAAGTATGTCACGGCTCGCGGCCGTGTTGTTCACGCTCCCGATCGCTTCTAACTTTGGTCTCTCCAAACAAAATACTCCACTCTTCTGTCTCTCCCTCTCTTGCTCGTTCTCTTTTCTAATGGCTTGCATGTGCCTGTGTGTCCTCTGTACACCCTTAGGTCTTTTCTTTGTAAGAGGAGAGGATATACATGTACAATGCACTATACTAGAATACTCCCTCGGACAGACCAGTGCTGTCAGAACTCTGTAATGGATCCCTTCTGCAACGGTCTTAAGTTGCCCAGTTAGGTATCTTCTCCATCTTCTTAATCTACTGCCATATTTGCTCTTACAACCTCAAAGAAAGGGAGGTGTAGTGTCATGTGACTAGATGCATGAAGCCCATGCATACATGCATTCCGATATCATTCCCATCATCATGATCCACTTACATGATCTAGCATTCCATTCCTCCTTCCCACTTTAGCCTGTATGTATATATCTAGTAGATTGCATGTGTTCTAGGTTCTTTGTCTTATCGTAGTACAACAGTTAGAACTAAGGTCTTGGCTCTCTGGTTGGTCTGGTTAGACTAAAGTACGAAACACTACACTTCCCGAAGCCCGAATGTATTGATCAACACTGAAAGATACTGGGATAGGACTTAGCTGGGAGGATGCTAAGTTACCAATATGGGGGTACATCTCAGCAGAGTTCCACAATACTGGATCCGGGTCATACGTGTACATACTACTGTGCATGCTAGCTACATAATCATGATATTGATAACTATTTTGGTTTTGCCCGTACAAGAGGCTGTTGTTCGGGTCATACATTCACATGTACCTGCATACATTGGGCATTACAGCATTGGGTATTACAGCATTGGGTATTACGCTCCTCGACATTCGTCTTGTTGAGCACTCTCGGTAAGCTGCTCTAGACTCTAGCTAGTGCTTCTGCATTACGCATTGCCCGCTACTTTTCGTAGTAAGACTAAGAGCACTCTGGCGCTAGAACGAAACAGCTCGCTGTCTACAGCACTGGGTGTACAATCATGGACCTACAACAATCCTCTACAATAGTCATCACGTACAAGCTGTGACAGCTTCCGAATGGAGAGCGAGACTGCCCGCATCGGACGTTGCGTTTCCGTTGCATCCGTGCTAGGGTAGTTGGTAAGCTGAGTAGAAGCTATGGCTGTGGCCTGCGACTGTTGTGTCTACAAGGTGGTAAGGTTAAATGCACCATAGTCTTACTGTCAGGCATTCTGACCTCACGGCGTATGCAGACGAGATGAATAAGGAGAGTATCATTGCGTTTCGAGTAACAAACTCTCGACGCCACTGCCAACAGCGAGCATGTTCGCTTGAAGAAACTGTAATTGAAGAGAGTACGGTGATATCAAGGAGAGCGAAACGGCACGAGGAGAGGTTCTCGGATGTGCGAAAAGGGTTGACAACATAGCACCCGTTTGTGCAGCACAACGTTTCAGCACGACATTGAGATCGTCAGCAGAACCTAGAGCATGGTAGGAAATTTAGGTTAGTCTACGGCATAGTGAGTAAAGCCGTTTATACGTTGTATGTGTAAGGAATTTTCAGACAGGGCGAGCAATGTCAGTGAAAGATGGCCTAAAAACAACTGTAGGACGTGCCAACTAATTCTGGTGGATTCAAATCTAGCTTGATGATGGAGCAAGCCCTTAAAGCCGCCCTGTTTCTCCTGACCCTGGTCGGTTTCTGGCTGGACATTCACACCACTACACGGACAGCCTCTCCGACCCCATGTAGATCAGACCAGCACGGACAGACTGATGACGAACTGGCTGCAGTGTATGGCATTCTTGATGAAATTGTCCCGCCATCAGCATACTCAATTCACGTCCTACGGAACCTCCAGCTCCACAGCCAGCTTGGTGATGCTCATGTAGCTGCTGCGTCTATTACACGAAGGAGTGATGGAAAGCTTCGCCTGGTCAGCAGATCTTTCTCAGGGGATAGGGTTGGATGGGCGGTGCTGAAAAGCACCGTGCATTCGACCGGTTGGGCAACTCTAGAACTGCACACGAACGCATCATACGAGGACGGTGCCCAGGCGGAGGCTGCCGGCTTTCTGGAGGGCTATCTAACTTCGCGGCTTATCTGGGACTCCTACAGGAATCTCCTGAAGGATTACTGCAATGGAAGAGTCCAGTACTGTCAGCGCCTGTTCGGCTATCTTGCCCTCTCCTTGGACTGGGCGGAGGGCAAAGTGAGGGCAGCCACGACTAAAGATGACGTCATCTACTGGCACCAGTATCGCCTGATTACGTCACAGCTTCGCGCCATGGTGGAGGGTTACAATGCAGCTGCACGGAAGCTGGGATTTCAGCGCCTGCGGTTCGCTCACTTTATGCTCATGTCCATGAACGGCGACCTGATCACGCTGGAGAAGGTGCTGCGAATGCCGCGCACGCCTTGTCAGACCAAACGGACGGCGCTAACATCCTGCTCGGCAATGGTGAAGATCGCGCCAGGCTTTGCGGACGTGCTGTTCGGTCACACGACGTGGGATTCGTACTCACGAATGCTTCGTATCTACAAGCAGTATGACTTGCGGTTCAAGCAGGACAAGCGTCGCGCCGCTGGCGTCATTCCTGGACATCGCATCGCCTTCCCGTCATATCCGATGAACTTGCAGAGCAACGATGATTTCTACACGATCGGCACCGGGCTGGCCGTCATGGAAACAACGCTGCCGGATGACGACAGCCAGCTGCTGCTACGGGTTGAACCATCGACGCTTCTCTACTATTTTCGGGTGCAGATCGCGAATCGACTTGCTCGCAGCGGCGCTGACTGGGCTCGGCTCTTCTCACGCTTCAACAGCGGCACGTACAACAACCAGTGGATGGTGTTCGACTTCAGCAAGTTTGTGCGCGGCAGACCCCTGCGACCAGGAGCACTGACCGTGCTTGAACAGCAACCAGGTATGGTGCACTCTCAGGATTTGACGGCACATTTGAACACGGAGCGATTCTGGGCCAGTTACAATCGACCTTATTTCGGCGCCCTCATGGATAGCATGAAGTACCTGGACGATAGTGCAGGAGAGGACGAGCTCAAATTCGATTTGCAACAGTTCAATTACACCGCGTGCGTCCGTGGCAAGATCTTTGCTCGCGACCAACACAAAGCTGTGGATCTCCGGTCCGTGTTTGATCTGCTACGCTACAACGATTTTGAGAATGATCCCCTGGGGAAGTGTCGCGGAAAGCTAGGCCCAACCCGTTGCGGTACAAATGCTATCGCTGCCCGGGCTGACCTTACCCCATTCGACGTAAATGCCCCCGTTGTCCCGTTACGTCACGGGCGCATGTTCGGCGCCACGGACTGCAAGGTGACATCGGTGCAGATGATGACGAGGCAGGAGGCGTATGTTGTATCGGGGCCTACACACCAACAGCAGCCCGTGTTCAACTGGCGTTTGTCGGGATTTGAAAAGCCCCACGGCCACCCGGACAAGTTTGACTTTAGACCTGGTCGCATGTCCTGGTCGGCAGAGGATCAGCACTAAAGTTGTAAGCCGTTATTAATGTTCTAGAGCCTCCAAAGAACATACAATACGGTTTGGTGTCGAGGACTAGGGGCTCATACACGTGGCATAGGTCGTTCTTATTTTTCTTCTTGAAATATCTGTAATTATAGCTGAGCAATAGGGTCCAGCGGATTCTGCTGGCAGAAAAATTGGCAGAATTCTGTACTTTTTCTGGTGAGTTTCGTGCATGTTTGGTATGTGGATAAAAAATGGAGGAGAATTCGAGGAATTGCCCGCCTGCGGTTTGTGCCCTCGGATAAAACTGTTCACCAGCTGAAGTACCAATTTCACTGCTTTTCGAGCAGAATCTGCCACCTTTTCGAGCAGAATCCACCGGTCCCTACCAGTGAGCAACCATGAACATGTGCGATATCCATGTACAGGTAGTTGTACATGTGCAAAAGGGTATCCTGGGTGTGGTAAAATTCTAGTCTGTTCGTTCTTCCGTGGCCAGCAGTTGTTGTTGTTGCTGTTGAAGTTTTATTTGTATCGCAGACCAAAAGGGCAATGATGCCTAATAATTATCATTACAAAGAGAAAGACCAAGGAGCTACAAGCTACGCTATACTGTCCACTAAAACCACCAGTTACTAAACAATCAGCTCATGCGATAACATTGCACGACACTGACCGACGGTACTGACGTTCTACAACTAACTGGCTAACAGCTCTAGCACATCTTGGATGCGCACTGCAATGCGCCCTCCAACAGCCTTCCAATAATTATTATTATGATGGCGATAAAGTAACGGCCAAAAGCCAAGGATACAACAAGGAAGCCTCCACGAAAGAGAGAAAAACACAGACTTCAAAATACTCAAAAAGAAAAGAGAAAGGAAAAACAGTACAAGGGAAAAAGGAAAAAGAGCAAAAAACAAACAACACGAAGAAATAAAACAAAAAAACACAGTTGAGTCACTTTGCAGGACGACTCAAAGACGGTGTAAGTGATGTTGGTAAAAAGGATAGGGCACTCTTCACCATGCATCAGTTTGCTCATGTCCGACCGACGTTATCGAGTTCATGATGTTATCAGAAGTAATCAAGGGTTAGATGTTCATGAGTTCATGAACGACAATCGTCGTGTTCTCGTCGTTTGTTTTCGGATTGCCTTGATTGGAGTCATTCATCAACCACCAGACCATAACTGCGCTCTCCAGCCGACCTCGACACGTGGCCACAGCCCGGCATCAGCAAAACGAGACAACAAACGTGAAACCCATTGGTACTGAATTTCTTCATACAGCTGTTTCGAGTACAAAATGCAGCTATTGTGTGGTGGTGGTGGTGGTTGAACATCTGTACAGAATAATAAAATATCCAAAGTCAGATGTACCTGAACGTCCTTCTGAATCTTGGTGATGCCGCAGGGCTGAAGCATTGGTTCATTATCTCTTTTCGCTAGTTTTCCTTTTCTGGCGGTTCAAAGCCCATCCTTCAACGGAGTGCCTGACTGTGATTAGCTGCAGTTTAGTCAGTTGACCCAGAAACACATGCACGTACACGTGTATGTACAGGTAATTACAGCAAGAGAAATATATTCAGTTTGGCAGGCTATCACACGAAGACGAAAGCGTTTCTTTCCCTCGAGTGGGTCTATTGTTGTTAGGCAATTGTCTGTTATGGTCACCACTATAAATAAAATCCAATCCAATCCAAATCGTTCTCCAGGTTCCGTGCGTATTCACCACTGTCATCACGTCCCTATACAAGTTTAATCGGCTGTTGACGTCACCGTGATGACGATGGGTGAAGGCAGATTCAGAACGGGAAGCAAAAAAGCATTTATCTCGTGTTGCCTTCGAGACCAAGACGGACACAGAACGTGCAGGAATTTCGCCAGACACAATTCAACGGAGATGCTTTTACCATCAGCTATTGGGAGTGGTTATCGGAGCGGATTTGGTCTCCGAAGCCATCAGTCCCACATTTCAGAACGCGCGATGTTCTTCAGTTATCGTACGGCCATCCTAGGTGTTTCTGCAGGCGCGTCCGTAACTGAATGACGCACATCGACTAATTATGACTAAGTGCAGGACGCTGCAACCTGTGTCCGAGCGTGTATTGGTGTGAACATTATCCAGCGAAACTCAGATAGTCAATGCCCGGACGTTGTGGTAAAGTGCGATAGCACGCCGGTGCCAAGCGTCGCCAAGGCCCGCTACCTTGGCATCATCTTGGATGCCTACATGTCATGGCTGCCTCAGGTCGATGCGAGCATCTTGAAAGCCAATAAGAACATTGGAACCCTATGGCGGACACGAAAGTCACTACCACTTGCTATCCGAGTCCTGTTTTTCAAGGCAGCTATCATGCCGGACCTCCTGTATGGGTACGTTGCCATAACCCGATCAGCTCCAAGTAGCACCAAACCGTCGAGGGGGGGGGCAGTTTATGCCAGGTCAGGGTGCTCCCGTGCCAGTGATCTCTAGGAACGCATGGAGGTGTTCAGGATTGGAGAGGTACATCGGCGGAAGGTCCTGGTCTTCGTCTGGCGGTGTGTAGACACCATTGCGAGTCCATCCCTCCAGCATCTCTTCGTCTCTGCGCGGATCGCAGGACGTGCCTGAACCTCGCCCTGGAGCTACGTCTGCCCCTTACACGAACCCGCGCCGGACGATCTCTCCATGTCTCCCAAGGTAGTGCCACAGAACTGTCATTCGCTGGCTTTACTAGTTTTGATAACGCTTCGCTCTTCATTGATATATCTACCAATGTCATTTCTTTCTCATTATGTTCTCCCCTACCCACCTTCCCTGTAACATAATAACATATCCGTTGCCTTGTCATTTAGCATTTGTGCTCGTTTGGATTTGCGAATTCAAATAAACTACCAAGTACATACCGGTACCGGTGCACCCATCTTTGGACTGTACTTTTTATTATTTTTTTACTGGGAACACAGCCCTACGAAGAGACATGTGGAAACAAGCACAAAACAAGACTCAGGGGATGTAGGGACGACGTGCCGATGTACAGGGATAGACGTCGGCGGATAATGCTCAAAAATCCCACGGATTATGCTTTTCAGTATGCTGGCAATATGCTCTGAAAATCACTAAATTATGCTCAAATTATGCTTCTTGACACTGTGCTCTTTCATGTTTATAATGCCATTAAAATGTATAGAATGTGTACTCGGGATCAAATGTGGACTTCCGGAGAAAACTGCATGGAAAATCTAGTCTCAGCTATGGATAAGAAACCAGGATACAGCTACTTCTATATAAAGGTTTTGTCCGACACGCCCTGGAACATGCCACCTCGGCCTGGTCCTATGCCATCACCAAAGCTGAGCTGGCGCGTTTAAATATTTTACAAGCCAGAGTAGCTAGGAAGTATTTGCTACGTAAAAAAGTCAATGTAGATAGATGCGAAACGAAATCCCAGTTAAACGCCCTTTGTGACTTAGAGTCCTTGCACTTTCGCAGACAAGATCAGCTCTTGTTACTCTATTTAAATTTATACATATATCTCCAGAACACATCCGACATTTTCACCTTTCATTGTCTTCAAGTCCAAGAAGACCAAACAAACTTCACATCAATTATCACGGTGGGCGTTTTTCTTCCCTCTTTTCCAACAAAGCTGCAATGCTATGGAATTGCCTACCGCCTTCTCTTACCTCTATAACCAGCCTCCTGGGATTCAAGCATTCTCTCTACCAGCATTTTCGCCGATATATTCATTACACTGACGGTATCCCAACTCCTTAATCACCAGATTTTGTATGCTTCGATCTATTTCCTTAGCCTATCCTCAATTAACTGCTCCCTCTACATAAAGTTGTCATTTCATTCTTCTTGCAGGAGATCCCCTCGACAGGCTCAAAGCCTTTGGGAAATCCTTAAAGTTAAATATAGAAAAATACAAATACATGTAGCCACTGCAACATCAATACAAGCATAATTATGTATAGGAATAATAGAACTCTGGAAGGTGAACTTTTGACCTTTGACGCCCTAAACATTAGACATCTGTTACATTTACAGTGTAGATCAGGCCCTTTCACGGAGCCGTGCCAGATATATACCATGGTATGGTACGACTCCCTGCCGAGTCCCGGGTGTAGATCTATTTATAGGAGGATTCCCTTGCCCTTGTCACAAACAACGGACTCTGGACGGTGAACTTTTGACCTTTGAGGCCCTAGCGGTTTTATGCAGCAGTTATGCTGAAGGATCAACTAAATTATGCTTGGCAATGCTATTTTTCAGAAAGCCGTGATTATGCTCAAAATTATGCCGGCATTATCCGCCGATGACTATACAGGGAGCAACTCGACCGGCCAGAGGTCTCGGCGTTAGCGTTGCAACCTGGCATCGAAAAAAGGCACTATCGGGATTGTCCTGTTCTTGTAGGACTTAAAAAAACCTCTTTCCTGCGGTTTGTGCCCTCGGATAAAACTGTTCACCAGCTGAAGTATCAGAATTGTGTGGGCAAAAAGAGAAGAAAAAAAGAAAGCGCCCAACGTGGGGCTCGAACCCACGACCCTGAGATTAAGAGTATCATGCTCTACCGACTGAGCTAGCCGGGCTGCTGGAAACCTTGAGGCGGGCTTGGAGAACTTCTAAATACGTACGAGCACGAAACTTGAAAAGTCGTTCACACCGAAATCATGAACGGACATTGATCTACAGCACGTCAGTTTGCAGTAATGACAGGCCACGAAGAAATATCTCCAGGCTCCTCACCATCCCCAATCGGCTTTCCGCAGACTGCTCAATGATTACTTCAAGAACATTGTATGTGTATAAACACAGACAATAGTGCAGACAGGAAGATTTTATTTTATTACTTCGAAGTATTAATATTATTATTACATTTTTGATAGGGCAATCCCCGAAGACGAACGCGGAGTTAGTCGTGCCTCAGTGATGTACTCGGACATGTACTTGAATGAATTGTTTTTGTTTGTTTTTGTTTTACTTTGTTTTATTTCGCAAAATCCAAACGGGAATTTCTTCCCAATGACAAGG